GCGAGTCTGACGACCGACAGCTGGTTTGGCACAACCAATGCCACCAAATATGAGTGATAGAGATGTCCGTAAACGCAGATATTGTCCACCAATGGATTGGATTTCAATTCGGCCTCAATCTAGACATCGATAGAAAAAACTTATGAGAAAACTATTCATAAATTGCTATCAAAAACCATGAAAACGGGTCGAAATTAGTTCACTTACTTTTCCTAACGACACGTATTCACCGAATGATAATTTTATTAAATCCTTTTTGCGGTCAATTATTTTGAAATTGCCGTTCGGATACACTTCGCCGATATCTCCCGTACGGAACCATCGCTGGCCGTCAGCGTCGGTATAGTAGGCCTCTTCTGTGGCCGACTCTAACTTGTAATAACCGGCAGATATCGAGTCGCTTGAGATGACAATCTCTCCCCGAGGGTTGGGTTTGTCTGTGGCTCTATAGCCTCCCTCTTCCCAGTCCTCTAACACTATTTTAGTGCCCCTCAGGGGTGCGCCCACCTGTCCGTAACTTTGGTCCGACTGATCCATTAGACACCCGGCACCAGAAGTCTCTGTGGAGGCGTAGCCCTGAAGTAACTTTATGTTAAGACACGCTTTGATCACTTTCTGGGTGTCCTGCGATAGAGGGGCGCCGCCGACAAACATCATATCCAATTTGCCCCCAACTGTGGCCCTGAACTTCCCGCACACCAAACGGTTCATAATCGGTGTATCGAAACCTAAACCAATAAAAAGGGGATTTTATTAAGTTTTACAATAAATTTTATAAATGTTTATTAAACACTAACCTCTTTGAGTCCAAAATGTTTTGTACTGAACGCCAAAATCAAACAATTGTCGTGCGATTAAACCATTTCTACTGATTTTGTCAACAATGCCTTTGCGGATGCGGTCCAACACGAGAGGCACTCCAGCCATGAGTGTTGGCCTGAGTAGAGTGGCGTCTCCCTTATCGCCCGGCCGTATGGCTGTCCCCACGTCTGTCAGTGTGTTTGGCGTTGAATACCCGACTCTAATGCCGACACTAAACATAATGGTTTCGATGATGAGCTCCAGTATGTGTGCCAGCGGTAGGTATGCTATGTATAGCTGTTGGTCACGAGTGG